ATGAGGCAGAGCATCGGAGTCTGGCCAAGGAGAAGCTAAGATGAGGAGATCTGCACGTAAGGAAGGCATGTAGGACTCAACGGGTGTGGGCAGGGGCATCAAGGGAGTGGAAGAGGAAGGGGAAGGGGGGATGAAGGGGTCTGCTGCCATCCTCTTTGGTTTGAGAAGAACAGCCAATCCTTCCCCCAGTCTTGCAGTCAGCATCTATAAGCACTCATTGCAATCTCATTCCGTGCCGCGGCCTGTTCGTGCTCAACCTCTTATCAAGGTGTCCAAAATCCTTTGCAGACAGGTGACGATACTTTCCCGGTGGTCAGTTAGGGTCATTATGTGCTGGAACGCTCTTTCGAGCAAATTGCCCATGTTCCCCGATCTACTCTGTTTGGTGCGAGAACACTGCAGGGCACACGAGTATAGAGAAGAGAAGACCGAGGTAGAGGGAAGGAGGGAATATCGAACACAAGAACCAACATCATTGGGTGTGAGAGAACTTGCATGATGACAGCTTGATGGTAGTCTGTATGCCAGATTAAGGCAAGTGACAATGTAGGGAATCAACAGCTGCATTCCTCGCCTCATCCTTGCCATGAGCATGCACATTATCTGTTGGGCTTATCAGCTCTTGCGTCGGCTTGACCGGCAATTTCAAGGAGTAGACGAGCGGACAAGTATCAAACCTTCCGCACGGTGCTGCTGAAAGCTCGTCTTATAAGCCGACATGCCAACTTGATGCTTGTCCTTCCTGTTCAGTTTCAATCCTTAGCATCATGTTTCTTTTCCAAAGCACGCTTGGATCAGTAGCGTGTCCAAGCTCTATTACGATCAGTACTCGACTTTTTTCTGTTTCCCAGATCATCTGATTCCACCTGATGCGAAGGAGAACTGGCTGTTGTTGTTGCCCTTGCAGCGAATGTAGAAGCCGAAAGGCTGACCATCAGCTTTTCCCTCCTCACCCATGATCTCGTGAAGGGCATCGGCCCATGATTGCAAAACTTGAACTGAGTCGGAGCATGACTCAGGGTCAAGACTTTGAGATCGGACAGACTCTCTGCTCCTATCTTTTACTTCTTTACTCAAAGCTCCTTATCACCTGAGTTACACTGGTGAAAGGTTTCCGAGCCCACCGTCCGATCCTTGTGAAAAACCACCTGGTACCTGACGGGAGTCAGTGATTCTGCAAAGACAGTTCCGAAGTTCTTTCCAGAAAATTCTGCCTTTTTCCATATTCTATATACAGCTCGGAGGCGGGCTTTTGCGTAGTAATAATGTGCTCGATTATGAGTTAACCCTTTTTAAACGGGTACTAGGTCATGAGGGGTCATGGATGCTGACTCCAGAGGGGGTAGGGGGGTCATGGGTGGCTCGACATTGGTAGGACATGAGGGGCGATGATGGCTTTACAAAGGTTTTTTAAGATACGTGACAAGGAGAATTTAAAACTCAAAAGTCATGATCTGATGATATTTTAAGACATAAATTAATTTAGAACTGTGATTAAAATGATTTTTTAACAGGCACCCTTGTGGCAGCACCCAACACCTCAACCAAGGACCCCTTATTTTGAGTGGTAAAAGTACCGGTATATTTACAGCTTAACCCACACCGGACCCATGTCAGCGATTACCTCAAGGAAGTCTACCCCTACCCCCTATCATGACACAACCTCCTATAGTACCCCACCCCCTCTGGTCATGTGGATCGGCCTCTATAAATACAGGGTTGAAGTGAAGACAGATTAGACACAATGGGGTAAGGCCATGTTTAGAGAGCGACGGCGATGACGGAGGAGGAGGAGATGGAGATGGAGATGATGATGATGATGGAGACGATGATGATGGAGACGATGATGATGGAGAAGATGATGATGGAGATGATGATGATGGAGATGATGATTCTGGATTGTGAAGATGGAGATGATGGATGAGGGGGGTTTCATTGATCGATCCTGACTTCTAGCTCGTTTGCAGAAAGGTTGTATTGCAAGTTACACATTCAGGCTGCTGAGGTTACGCTCGACAAGTCCGATGTGAGTGTGTAGGAGGAGGAGGAGGAGGAGGAGGAGGAGGATTTCTTATCAATTGATCTCCTCCCACTGCTCAACCCCTTGATTTTGCTGTTTTTGACTTGGCGGTGCAGTGCTGCGGGAGGCAATCCAGGACAAGTTTAAGGCAGGTGAGACTATCGTATTCTCCATGGTGCCCGAGGAGCTTCGAGGATCTGACTGCCTCTCCTGCTCAGCAGACGTCGAGTTCAAGGAGAAGAAGAGGCTCGACACCAACGGGTTCTTTGAGGTGGAAATCCTGGCTCCTGCAGAGCATCGTAAGCTCCTGCACTCGATGCGGGCTGGACAAGGTGAGGAGACCTCTCCTCTCCCCCACTTCCTCTTTCCTCCCCTCCTCTCTTCTGCTCTGCTCTGCTCGACACCTTCTCTTGCTTTCTCTTGCCCTCGGGATCTCCGTAGAAGGCGGCTGGGCAGCAGGTTGACTTTTGGACAGGGTTCGTGAACACGGACGAGAAGCGAACTACGATCTTCACGGGCATTTCCATGGCGATGAAGTGAAGGAAGAGGATGGAGGAGGAAGAGGGGAGTGAGAGCTCATGATGACGAGCCGTGCTGAAACCTCGCAAGAGGAGGACGACTCTGAAAAGCAGCTTCTCGCTTCCCCTTCCTCCCTCCCCACCTCCCTCTGTTCCGCTCTATCCTTAAAGTCGAGGAGGGGTCCCGCCTCCTGCCTTGACTATCTCCATGTACAGTCTTGTCTTCGTTAGAATGTTGTTAATAATCAAGTCTCTCATACTGTAAACTCGAAGCTTCGTTCTTCCTTCGACTACTGCTTCTGTTACAACGCTCTCCTCCTCCTCCTCCTCCTCCGCCTCCTCCTTCCTCTCTCCTCTTCTCCTCCTCCTCTTGTATCGGTAGCTAATGAGCTCTGCTCTTCCTCTCTCCCGTCCCTTTCCCTCCTCTCTGCGTCGAAGCTTCAGCCTGCTCCGACTCGCGCTCGGCGGCGAGGCCAGCAGCCCTTGAAGCACGATTCTTGATATGACCCTCTGCTGCCTCAAGTTCCGCGGCTCCTGCTCTTGCTCCAGCGCCAACAACTGCTGCTGCTCCCGCTCCCGCTCGTGCTGCTCCCGCTCCTGCTCCCGCCCCTGCTCCTGTGGCTGCTGCTGCTGAAGCTGCTGCTGCCGCCGCTTCGGCTCCTGCACCTCGTGCTCCTGATGACAGTCCAGCTGAAAGCCGAGCACTAGCCCCAGCTGTCGCTGAGCCTCCTTCCGCCATCCTCGTGCTTGGCTGCTGCTGCCTTGCTCCCATGGATCGCAGAGACTGCACCACTCCCTCCGTCGCCGCAGCTCGCGAGCGCACTCCAACAGCCGCCTCCTCTCCTCTGCTCCCTGAAGCAGCGGGCAAGGATGACTCCCTTCCCCTCCTCGCCATCGCAACCAACGCCTGGTTCCTCTCCTCGCTGTCTCCTGCTGCTCCTGCTGCTCCTGCTGCTCCTGTCGTCTTCTCCTCCTGGCGTTGGAGGCGACCAGTGAGGGACTCGTGATCCCTTGCTCGCGTCGCCATCTTGTGGAGCTCGCCCTGCGCATGGCCGTCTCCTCCCTCCTCCTCAATCCTCTCACCCTGCCCTTCGGCAGACTCCTTGCTGGGCAGTAGGGCAGCCTCCATCGCAGACCGAGGAGGAGCGAGAGTGAGTCCATCGTGGGGGTCCCCTACGGTAAGTGAGACCGGTCCTGTATCCTCCAGCCACTGAGTTCTCACCGACAGTGAAGGAGATGTCGAAGACAACAAAAGGAGCACCTTGGTCCTACAGGAAACAAGCTTGACCCCATTCCCCTTGCCCCCTGCCTCCCCATCCCCAGCCATGTCCTCAGCCTTGCATGTGCTGATTCATCTCCCTTCCCTTCCTCCCCCTCGCTCCCTCCTGCCCCCTTCCCCATCCTTTCTCCTCTACCTCCTCGACCTTTTCTCTCTCCCTCCCCCTCCCTCCCTCCCTCCCTCCCTCCCTCTCTTGCTGTTTCATTGCTCTGCTTCTCTCTACCTTCAACGTCCTGAAGCGTAGGTAGCGAATGTAAAGCGGCGGAGTGAGAATGCCTAGAGCCAGCCACTGAAGTCACGAAGAACGCGAAACAAGAAGAGGGAGAGGGAGACAAGAGGGGAGGAAGAGCGAAGAAGAGAGAGGTAGAGGCAGGGGAAGGGGCAGAGGCAGAGAGAGAGCGGGAGGCAGGCGGGCAGGGAGGGAGGGAGGGAGGGAAGGGAGGGAGGGAGG